TACTTCCTACACTGATTTCCTTTGGTTCAAGTAATGGCTGGTTTTAATTTACATCAGGCATTTTCTTTGAAGTGAAGGGATGTGTGCCTGCCCACGCAGCCTATCACCCCTAGAATGCTGTGTCCTTGAAATCTGGTAAGAATTTGTATCACATACAATTTCTATAGCAAACACACCGGCACAGACTCTATTTGGGGACAGTTAACATTCTGGTTTTTGCTTTGATTCACAAAGGATTTGTAAAGCACCATAAACTCAGAATCTTGCTGTCCCTGGACCCACCCTGAGGAGACCTTTGTCCTGGGTCTCAGGCAAACTTGGCCTCTGACCCCTACCTCTAGCTTACTCTCTTGGTAACATTCCGAGGTCCTTAGAGCAAAACATTCAACCCCACCCCTTCTCTGCACTTATTTTCTGTTTTTAAGTGTAGAAATGATCATTTCAGAACATTTTCATATCTTGGCAGAATTTTTTAGATGAACTAAAATCCTAGACTGGCTTTCCAGTGGCATTTCTGGACCACTTCAACTTCTTAACCAGGAGTCTCAAAAACTTACAAACAAGTGTGTCATTGGCCCTAGGGAAACAACTTTATACCACACTGGGTATCATTTTTCTCTGTCCCTTGACCTGAGTTGAACAAATCACTCCATTTTCCTCCATTGCTTGTATTTGAAGTTTACCAAATCAAATGTGACTATTCCCCACTAAAGAAATTCTCACTTTCCAGAAAGTTCCCAACTAAAATGGACTTAAACAGAATGTATTCTAATCACATAAAAACTGTAGTTGCATTTTAACTAACATTAACTTGATCCACACACACTAAACTTCAGAAAGATTATCCAGAAAGGCAGATACAGTGATAAAAGCCATCCTCCTGCCTATTTACCCCAGCTCAGATCTGAGCTTCACATTGCTTGCTCACAGCCAGACATGGTGGTGCATATTTGTAATCCCAATAGTAGGGAAGAGGGCTGAGGTGAGAATCATGATCTCAGAGCTAACCTGGGCTACATAGCTCAGTACCAACAAAATGTTTCCTTATGTTACTGTGACTAGAAGGAAATTTTCCACTCTGACCTTTATAGCATGTAAAAAAAAAACTACTTTTTAAGCTTTTATGTTTGAATTCACCCAGTTTTCCTCTTCTCCCCCTGCCCCCACAAGCTCAGACCTCAACAGAATACCTCAGCCTGAGGCTGAGTGGCTTGAACAGTGTAAACTGTTTCAAACTGTTTGATTCACAGTTTGAAAGCATGAGGGAATAGCAGGTTTGGTTACTTCTGAAGTCTCTCTCTCTGAACGTTTCTTTGCTGGGTCATAACCTGGCCTTTTCTCTCTACACCTGTGCCTCTTCCTCTGGACATAGAGGAATGGAGCCTCCCTCAAACACTTCACCTTAATGTGATTCACTCTTTAAAGATCTTATTTACAGAGTTACATTCTGAGTTAGTGTGGACTAGAACGCCCACTAGAATTTGGCCAGAGCATAAGCACATTGTGATATATTTTAGAATATTCGTAGGTCTCTATACTCTGAGTTTCTCCTTTCCTCAAGCTAAGTGTAAACCTCTTTGGTGAAAAACCTTGTTTTAAGACTCAGTGATTACAGCAATCAGTTGGTTGATCTTGATCATTATCTGTTTTTTTGTTCATATTTGTCCTGTTGAAAACACCTCGGGTAGGTGGAGGAGGTGAGAATCAGCACAGTGGCTTCTCCACGTCGCATGGGGCTGGAGATCTCTGAAGCTGCTTACAAATAAGTTTGTTTATTTACCATTACCATTCACTGACTGCCCTAAAATTTCTGTCTCTAAAGAGTCTTAGCCATTTGTTAACTTTTATTTGAAAGCATCTCTGGAAGGTTGTATTGATTTGGCTTTCATTACTGTCATGAAATGTCTTGAGGCTGAGGATTTTAGAAAGAAAATTAGCTTGTTTGGTTTGGAGTTCTAGAGAATGTAAGTCCTGGTCTGGGTGGTCCCATTGATTTGGTCTTTGCTTAACTCCTAATACTACATGGCATCATGGCAAGAGAACTCATGGAAGAGATAAATCATATCACAATAGAAACCCAGAGAACATTCAGGGATCAGGTTAAAGTTTCTATGGTAAGTTGCTCTTCTGAGAACTCATGGATTCCATGAGAACTATGCTAATTTCTCTCCTGGGAGCAGGTCCTTGCAATGACCCAAAGGCTTCCTAGTGTTTTTCAGCTAACTGGTGTTTTTCAGCTAACTGTACTGAGGACCAAGCCTCCAGCACACAAAGCTTTGAGGATCATACCACATCTAGACAACAGACAGGGCTAGCCCTAACATCTTGAGCTCCCAGGCTTTGTTCACTTCCCTGTCTGCATCCAGCAGCCCCTGAGTAGACCTGGCAGGCCATCTCATTTGATGCTGCAGCCGAGGACACAGAAGCGGGAGCAATCAGAGGACTGTCAAACTCTTTCCTGCAAGGACTCCAAACAAGCTCTTCTGACTCCAAGGCCCGCAGTGTTTTCCTTCCAGCGACTCATTATTCCTCATTATGTGGAATTAAAAAATATATATATCAAGAGCTTTTGGTCTATGCACACTAATCCATGTAATGAAGCAAGAATGGCTTCTCTCCTGAATTCTGGGAACTCCAAACAGCCTATCTTTTGGTACCAAACGATCTACCTAACAATTTTGTTGGTTTATGAAATAAATGCTCAAGTGCTCAAACCATATGTTTAAATAGAATTCTCAATGGAGATAGTCTTCTTTATAAGCGCAAATAGAATTTCTCAACATCCAAGTGGAAAAAAAAATAAGTACAATTTTTTTTTCAGGAAAAAAAAAAATGGTCTAAATTTATCCTTCAGTCAGTTCCGGGACACTGAAAATTATATAGGTAGATTTCATGGTCTGAAAATTCTTTCGCCCTGACCATAAGTTTACTCCTCAGGTCAAGATGAATCATCCCAAAGACATTTGTATATAAACACAAGTCTTGCTGGCAGCAACCTACATCCAGCATCACTTCTAAAAACAAACAGAAAAGCAGACTTTCAAACCAGATAATCCATTTACCATATAAAAATCTCTAGACAGAAGGTGTATGTGGCCTCCTTGGGCCAGTTTTACTGTCTAAATTAGTGTGAGAGCTTTGTGTGCTAGGTAGGAGCCACAGTCTCTCCCGCACAGGATAGCTTGCTCTTCTGAGAATACAAAGCCCCACAGCCTGAGGTTGTGCTGTGCTTATAGTATCGTTTAGCATGGCCCATATCCCCTAGAGGCCGATGGCCTGTGCAGCGGCCTTGTGTGTTTTCCTGACAGAGCCTTCGTGAAAATGTGTCTTCGTGCCATGTCAGTCATGTCTCTGGCTCTGTGTCTATGTGGGGGTTGCAATGGTCTCTTTTTGCTTGCTGACTTTATAAACTGGATTCTGTTCATTGTCTACTGCAACTGGAAAAAGCCGCACGTGGCAGCTTATGAATTGTGTCTTCCAGCAGGCTCTGGAAGACAACTGGAGGGAGGGTGGCCAGTGTATGTGAAACTCCCCATGCAGAATCGGGTTGGGACACACAATAACCTCTGTGTGTACCCCAGAAGCCTGCGGACCGCTTCCCAGTGAGCAAGCAAGTGAGCGTGGAGAAGCAGAGTCTTTTGTTAGCTGTTTATCTAAGAGACTGGTTTGTTTGTTTGTTGGGGGCTGGGGACAAGCAAATTCCTTGCTTGTGTGCAACCTGACTTTTTTTTTCCTCCCCCATATCTTCATTTCTAATTCTCCAAAGTATAGATTCCCTTTAATTTGAGGAGTCAGCTCATGGTAACTTTGGAAATACCTTGGATACTTGTACAAGACAGAAATCCCAGGGTTCCTGGCCCCTTTCTGTTCCCATCATGCACTTCATTGTTTCTACGGCTAGAACACACAGCTAAACATACCATTCCATACTCTCAGACTCCTTTGGCTTTGGGGTTCTGTAAAGCTGTGTAATGAGATATCACAGTTCTCGGGTCTTGTCTGGTAACATAATTTTAAAGTTCCCTCTGTTCAGGGCACACAGTGAGGTCCTATACAGCTAGCAATGACTGCATTCTTAGCTTCCTTGCATAGCTAGGGAAGCACAGATTTTTCAAAAAAGAAAACCTTTCTGAGAGCCTCTTGCTGGTTTTGCAAAGTAGGATGAAAAACAAAACAAACAACAACAGCAGAATCTGGGAACCCACCTGCATGAGCAGGAAGAGGCTTCAGATAGCATCACACAGACAGAGGCTTAGTTTTCTGCAATCGCCTGGGGTGTTCTGGCAATTCCAGAGGAGGAAGATCATCTTAAACCAAATCCATTTTTCCCAAACAAGCATCTGGAATTCTGTCTCTTTGGTTAGGGGTTTGGACTTACTATTTGCTTACCCACCTTTCCACAGATGCTGGGTAATCTGAATTCCGCGACAAAAAAAGAAATGATTTATCTCTGTATCATTTTACCTGGCCCCCAGAAGCCAAAGCAGGGAGTGGCATTGCTGAGGAACGCTGAATAGTGTGACCTAACAAGTCTCTTTCAAGTTGTCTAGAGGAAAAGTTCCCTGTGGTGGGATCCTCAGAGTAATTGTCACCGTCTTACACATTGATAAGTCCATCTGTGGGAATCCAGTCAGTAGCAAAGGGGCAGAGGGGCTCAGTATAGATTCATGGGGACCTGTCCATCTTCTACACCTGAGCTTAGAAAATGTGAAATTTTATCTGTGAAACAAACAACAATAACCACTTTTTTAAAATCTTCAAATTCCATGGATTACTCATCATTTCTTCTCTTTACAGACAATCTGAAATGGGTCCTCGGGAGGACATTTGTGGAAAACTGGCAACTGTGACAAAATGAAGATCTCACCTGGGAACATAAACCTTTGCCTATCTTTGATGTCCCAAGGGACTAGGGCCATCTGAACATTAAGATTCCCAATGGCAGATGTCAGCCATGTCCCCCCCTCACCCCCCAAGAGGTGGCTGTGGGAGGTACTCACCGGTCATTAGGGTGTAGTAATTGGGATAGGAGAGGCTGGGGAAGTCCGGAGTCAAGTAATCCACTTTGACCCCCCTGTTCACAATCTCTCTGAAGCCAGGCAAGGATGCCAGAGCGTCCTCACTGATGTAGTCTGAGCGAAAACCGTCCAGGAGAAGCACCAGGAGCTTCCGGTGGGCAGAAGCTGGCCAAGCCAGACTGAGTCCAAACACCAACAGGAAGGCCCTGAGCTTTACTGCCATGCTGCTGGGGACTGCCAGGGCCAGCTGGCACAGCTGTGCTCCTGCAAAGCCTGAGGATGGAGAGCCTGGAGCTATTCTCTCTTCTAGGGGCTGGACCTTGAGCTGTTGGCCTTCCTAAGCCAAGTTCACTTGCAGAATTTAAAGGAACAGCACTCCATTAATTTCTTTTTTTCTGCTCACCCTCACAAAGCCCAGAGACTGAGTACTTCTAGATAGGCTGGGCTCTCTAACACCCTAAAATTAACACGAAGGGAGAAAGATACATTCTCATTGGGTTTCTGGTGACTGTTCCATAAATATAAACATCCACCGAGGTGGAACCTTGTAAGACTAACTCACCGCTTAAGTTTGCAATTGTGCTGACCACAGGGAGGAGTCAAAGAGAAAGGGAGTCTTTAAACTTGTTGTTCTGCCCAATTTAAACTGTCTAACTTCTTCAGGTAACAATTTAGTAACCCAAAGCTCATAACTTAGCGTATAAGCTAGAGACAATACATTTAGGTGGGCCTATTGTGAGCTCTGCAGCCTTGCTACAGCCGGAGCCTCTAGGAACAAATCATTCATCTGAGTCTCTGCTGCTGACTTTTGTCCTCCTTGGCCCCTAAATACAGTGTTACTGCTTTAATTTTCAAGTGAAAGAAAAAAAAAAAAACTGTTGGTGCCTGAAGCTCACCTGGAGGAGGGGTTGCCAAACGGAGGAGGTACGGAGCCAGAGAGAATGTTCTAGAATGGGATCGGAAGAGGGCAGGCCTGACAGGCTGGGCTGAGGCAGCATTGTCCCTTGAAGGTAAAGGTGAGCTGGAGGATGGGACTTAGACATGGAAAAAGAGCTTGAAATAGCCAAACAAGTTCCAAAACAGAAATAACTAGGCAGAGGAGCCCTGTCACAGGAGACGGCCTGGGAAGGAGAGAAGGACCAGACTAAGTCCTCAGGTTGCAGGAAACCTCCACAGTGGTTCTTTCGTCTGGCATAAAATTAAATGAGAAATCTTATGTAAATGCTAATGAAATACATGTGGCCATAGAAGCAACATCCTCATTGATTTTGGTGACTGTTCCATAAATATAAACATCCATTAGCAAATACTGGGTTGTATTAGTGTTACAGTGTTGCTTGTATCTCGAGGAACAACACAGGCTCAGTCAGTCTGTGGCTACTCTCATGTTTGCCATTCTGACTGAACAGTATCCTTCTGTTCATCATTCCCTTATAGTTAAAGTCAAACCTTCACATGGCACCAAGGATTAAAAGAGAAATAGCCAAACTACATCTACATTGACTTGGTCAAGAATAACACTTCACTTTTTTTCCTCCACTAAAAGATCATACTTTTTACAATTAAAATCCATTTTTTTTTCTTATTAAAAAATAAAAAAAAATTAGCCCAGCACAAACAAACTCCTGTAATATCAGCAATTAGGGAGGCAGAGGCAGGTGAATCTCTGTGAGTTTAAGGCCAGCCTGGTCTACAAAGTGAGTCTAGGATAGCTAGGGCTACACAGAGAAACCCTGTCTCTAAAAAAAACCAACAATAACAACAACAACAACGAAAAGACAGCAATGAAGAAAGAGAGAGAGAAAGAGAGAGAAAGGAAGGAAGGAAGGAAGGAAGGAAGGAAGGAAGGAAGGAAGGAAGGAAGGAAGAAAGGAAGAAAGGAAGAAAGGAAGAAAGGAAGAAAGAAAGAAGTATTTTACTGTAGGCATAAAGTTATTGTATAATTCAAATACAGATTTCTGTACTCCCTCATATCTGGTTGCAATCCTTGTTCCTTGTTCTGAGAATCTCCTGTCTCAATGTTGTGTAAACATTGCTCCCCAATTGTTGCCTGGTATGCCAAAAAACAGCTTACAGCCAATCACAGAGCAAGGGAGAGAATAGGGCTGGACTTCCTGCCAGCCAGGGGAAGAAGAATGAGAGGTAGGGAAATCAGCCTTGGGAGAGGTCCAGATAACATCAGAGGAGGACCTGGAGCAGAGAAAGGCCACAAAGTGCAAGTATCTGGGGTATTTATTCTAGAAGGAAGCCAAGTTATCTTAGAGGGTTAAGAATAGATTAATAACTGCTCAGTTCTTGTGCTGCGAAGCTTGTTAAAATAATATACTAGAGTCTCAATTATTTGTGTGATAGCCAGGTTAAGAGAGAAACTGAAAAACAAACACAGTTTTATAAGAACAATCGTAACACTTTACTCTTGATGTTTATTAGCCTGAAAACACAATATTATTCTTATCTATTTGAATGGTAATTTATTATTGCTTAACTAAACAGAAAAGAGGAGAAATGAAGGAAGGTGATGAGCAGGAAAAGAACAGAAAGGGTGAGGCAGAGAGGAGAGAGATGGAGAGGAAAAAATATGCTAACAGCTGTTGGGTACCCAGCCCTGAGCATCCTGCATATTAAAAGAACTTCTTCCCATGGGAGTGTCTAAAGGGATACAAGCTCAGCAGTATCCTGAACCTGAGTTTTATCAGCTGAACAAGCCCACATATTTGCCTTGGGGCGACCCCTGGGTTAACTTAAGAGAGAATCAATGTTCATAATTCTAAAACGAACATCCAATTGCTGACACATTTCTCTGCGTTAAGAGTGGATGATTTCGCTTTCTATTGCGGCTATTTTTCATTTTGGCCTTTTTGTCCATGTAACAATGCCTATGTTATTATTGTTAAGAATTTAACACTTAATGGGTCCACATTTTCTGTTTTAGCTTCTCGAGTTTTCACCAAAATATCGAGTTGTTCTTCTGCTCTTAGCAACGATGGCAATAATTGGCTTTTTAAAAAGAAGATTTTTTTTTGTTTTATCAAGATAATTATATTTTCTACTAAGTTTGTCAAATTTTAACTACTTAGAAAAATTGAATCTTATTAAAGTTTTTATATGTTTATTAATCTTTTGTCAGTCTTGGTGCTACAATTCCCAGGATAATTTGTTCAGTTTTCAGTTTACATACTGACTTCTTTTTAAAACTCTTAATTTCCTCTGTGTTGCTTTGTCTTTCAATATGCTGGTTTTTATCTCTGCTTTGTGTCTTTTCTCACAAGTGTTTAAATTATATTATTAAGATTTCCAATGTATTTATGAATTCTGTTCTTTTCTAGTTAATTAATGTAACCTATACCTTTATTAAAGCCTTTCTCCTTTCTTTAGTTTTATTTTGTTGCTTTTCTTTATGCTTCTTGAGTACAGATTTCATTATTTTAATTATTTCTGGTTGAAGTAATAAATTTTATTATAATTGTTTTAAGTAATAATGTTTATTTTTATGCTTTTTTTCTTGTACTAGCATAACTCCAATAGGGTTGTTAAATAAATTTCTCATCATTAGAATTAAAATACACTGAAATTAATTTATAGCTGAGTGCTTTCTGAATTTCCAGGTAGAATCTGCCTGTTTCTATCTATTGCATTGTGTTTAGATAATGTGTTCTGCATTAAACCTATGCTACTTGTGTTCTGCTCTGTATCTGGCTAGTCCAAGGATTTGGGTTTAAAAAAAAAAGAAAGAAAGAAAAAAGAAAAAGAAAAATATATTCTGTGTTTACCAGGATGGAGGTTGACACATATTTAGTTGCTTGGCTTGATAAACATAGCATTTCGAGTAAATATGTAACTGGGCCCTGTGCTCAGGGTAGCTGGTAGCTATGAAGTGCTGGTGTGCATAGTCATGAGTACTGGGGAACTGATGTTCTCTTCCAACGCCTCTTGGGGCCTGTGGCTCAGGGGCTTGCTAAACTCCAAGCTACTTAGGGGACCAGGAAGCTCTCTGAGTAAATGGTACTGCATTGCCCATGAGGAATCTGCATCTTAACCGTCAAGATTTATTTTAAAAATCTCTTTGTTTTCATAAGCCTTATCTCAATCAGCAGTCACAACCCCTTTTGGGATTGAAGGACCTTCTCACGAGGGGTTATCTAAGACCATCAGAATACACAGGTGTATTTACATGATGATTCATAGCAGTAGTAAAATTACAGTGACGAAGTAGCAATGAAAATAATGTTATGGTTGGGGTCACCACTGTTGGGAGACAGTTGCCAGAGTCCAGCCATCTCAGGGACAACCTCCATTTTGCTGGCAGGGACAAAACTGAGTTTGTGTTCCCAAGTTCCAGAACAGATCTTCTCTCCTGCTTCTTCAACTGTTGTCTGTTAATCGGCAAAGAATGTAGAGAAGAAAAGTTGCCAATTATGTGAACTAAGGCACACAAATTATAAATGTATTGCCTGACTTGATTTAATTGACTACTCGAAGCTCGCCCACTCCTTTGTTCCCTTATCATTCTGAATGCCAGAAGTCAAGAGGGGACCTGACTGCAAAAGCTGAGTCGAGAGCCCTGAAACCAGGTGACCCAGATGAGGCCCAGTCACCAACATTTTCTTCCTTGTTCAATCCCTTCTGTCAAAATATGATTGGACAATGCTACAGTGATAATAATAATAAAATAATAAAAGTACTGATATATGTTAGAATTTTGCCACCTACGCGGTCTTAAACACCAAGGAGAAAAATATAACCAAAGAGTAAATTAATTAGTTGTGTAACAAAACAAATTTCTACCAACTCCTCCAGGGTTCTATCCTAGCCCTGTTCAACTAGGGGACCTGGTACTGCTAAAGACCTCAAAGGCAAGTCATTCATGTAACTAAACTAGCTTTTTAGAAAAAGGTCCCTACTGGGTCTTATTAAGCACCCCAACACCTGTCAAACTCTAGGAGATTACTGTCATAGTGTGCTTTCTGTTGCCGAGATAAAACCTAACCAAAGCAGCTCATGGAGGAAAGGGTTTATTTGGCTTGCAGATTACAGCCCACCACCTCATCGAGGAAAGTCAAAGCAGAAACCTAGAGGCAGGACCCGAAGCAGAGACCATAAGGTAGCAGTTCTTAACTTGTGGGGCTGTGACCCCCTTTGTGGGTTGCATAACAGATATCCTGCATAGCATATATTTACATTACAGTCTATAACAGTAGCAAGATTATAGTTATGAAGTATCAGTGAAAATAATTTTATGCTGGGGGGTCACCACAAC